GTTGTAGCTCCTGTAGTCTGGTTGAAGTTTGCCAATGCTTCAGAAATCCTCTCCATCGTCAGGGTAATGGAAAAACTTAGTTATAGGAGACTGGCAGTGGGGATTGGGAACGAATAGGAGCTGGGGACATGCGACACCTTGTCCACAAGAAAGGTGAGGGACGTGGGGCTCTCATAAGGGGCTCCTCAGGTTCCTGCCATAGGATCAACTGACATATGAGAGGTGAGTCGATGTGATGTGCCCTGAAAAGGGCAGGGTAGTGGCTTATTGGCCTGGGCAAGACTGGCAATGCTGTATGGGATGTTTCGGCCACAGCGGATTTATCCAGCTGGTCCAGCCGGATGTGGCGCTGGTGCCGCTTTCTCAGACCTCTCCGTCTCGTGCCCCTTTCCTTCCTGCTGGCCAAGGTGTGGCATGCCCTGCTCCTGTTAGTTCCAAGGCCCTCACATTTATGTCTTCAGTCAGCACTGGTTATGCCAAGGCTCTTCATTGACTTCCAAATGTGTGCCTTACTCATCACCCTGATGACAAAGGCAGCAGGGACCTCTGAATCGTTAGTACACTTCTACCAACAACCCAGAAGAGAGTCATCTTCAGACTCACCAGCATAAAAATGTCAAATCCTACACGGTAATAAATCTTTTGGTTCTGTGAAATGTTGGGAATTTTTGGAGTTGCCGAGTGACCGACTATTGGTGGCTTCTCAAGGACCTAGCTCCATGGAATAAGTGACAGATGGATCAAGGTTTGCTTTGTGTGGCAAACAGAAGATGCAGACTTGACAAATGATTCACACACGCATTTATCACCTATAACAAATGTTTTTCTTTCTTGCAGTTTTAATGTGTCAACAGCTGGGAGATGAAGCAGATTTCTGTACAACTGCATTAGAAAGAAGGAATACAAATATTTGGTACAAATTAGTGGCAGAAGTCTTCTCAATAGGCTAGCCCTAACTGGCACAGAAGAGGAAATTAAGAGACAAAGGGCCCAAGGAAATTTACTTGGCATGCACTTGTGAGATGAATGTCTCTCCTTTCCCAATGGCCTATTTTGGATCAAAATGCTCAGATAATGAAAGGCAATGACGCAGTTCCATCCTGCAAAAGCTGTTGAGTGGTCCAAAACTACAAGACACAGAAGAAGCCAAATCAGAAACAGGAAGTCAATGTATAGCTCATTTGTTGTTTTACATCTGAATGTTATTTTGTATGACATAATTGTGCACAT